CATTCGGGGTTTTAGCCTACAAAAGTGAAAATTACATAATTATGCATAGAAATATACTCAATATTCTTTCTAATTAAATCCAGAAAAGTGTCGAATAAGTGCGTTTTTACACACTTATCATTAAGATTGGCTTACCTTCAAGAGCTTGCCAAAGTGCTCTTGTTGGGGGAAATTCGTGAATGTTGACCTTCTTCAAGTTAGGGTTGCAATGAAAAATAAATGAAATTTGAATGACCATTTGAATAATTCGAGTTGTTTAGCATCAATTTACCTGGGAGGAAGGAATACAATTTCCTAGAGTACCTTTATATTAAAAAATGATTTAAAGCCTATTTGAGTCCCATTTTTGGTTAAAATGCATTTTGAAATAGTAGATTGATGGATAATGTGCTTTTAAAAAGTAAGGAAAACTTTCAAGTTTGTGTGTAATATTATTTTATTAAAAAATGTGTGGATGAAAATAATGGAGAGAAAAATATATATTTTTTGAAAATAATGAAAATTAAACAAGGGCTTAAATGGAAGTACATTATTTTTTTTTTTTATAATAGCAAACATTAAATACGAGCATATTAGAAAATTGAAAAATCAACTATGCTCTCGATAAGGAAAGAGTCTTGTAATTTGGGATATATAAAAAATGAAAACAAGTCTATATTTATGATATGGAGAGAGTAAAATTTATTAAAAATTTGATTTTTTAACTAAATCAAACAGGGGCTAAATAGTAAGTGTCAATGAGATAGTGATACGAGTACCGAGTTTCAGTATTCCATGATTACTAGAAATTGTTGCACTAGACAAGCATGAACATTGAGACTTTTGCCATGCTGGTGAAATAAATGGACAATACTACAAGTACTTTCAGACTTACCTAAAAGGTGTTTGGTGGGGATTAAAATTAGATTTTTAGTAAATTGTGATAGAAATTTTTGAAGTGTGTGGTTGAAAAGTTGTGGGACCTATGAAAGATGATAATATTGCTTGTTTGACTTTGACATAGATTAAAATCTGATTTTAATAAAAACATGGCCCTAATGTCTTATATAATGTCACACAAGACTCTACTATTTGTCAATTTAAAATAAAATAAGCTTTTTTATTCATTATTTTCCCTCCACATCATTCCCGTCACTTCTTATTTTTCTGTACAAACAGCATCAGAAATAAAATTACCAATCGCTTGAGAAGTGTTGTCATGAAAGTCAACTTGACTTTTTTATTGATATAAGAATCAATCAAATAATTAATAAGTATAAATAAATGTATAAGGTGAAAAATATTTTAAAACGTATCCTGCTATTCTATTTATGCATTTTGTGATGGATAAACTTAATCGTATAGTATCCAAGTAGACCCTTTCAACAATTATTTTCTTTAAAAGATCATACTTTCAGTTTGGGCATTCGAAAACAATATTTTTAAAATTGGATTGGATCGACTAGTTCGATCTAAAAATAATACAGGAGTTTGGTCATATGTTAAATTTTTTTTTTTTTAAATGAAATCAAGATTTATCTTAAAACTTTTTAGTTTTATGAATCGTCGTACTTTGATGGATCATGTTTGACTCTCTTTTCTGAGTCACATTGGATCCAATTTTAGTAACATTGTTAAAGGCGTACTTTTCGAAAAATACCCCAACTCTTTCCTTTACTTTTTTTAAAAAAAATATATGTATATTGAAGCAATGTTCATTCCATATATTTTCATGTAGTGCTTGAGTGTGAGTGATTTTTTAGAGAACATCTAGATAAAAAAGTAGGAAAAAGTTATGAAAAAAATTGAAAAATGTTTTTATTTTTTGAAAATGTATAATTTAAAATAAGCGTGAAAACATAATATCTTATTTTATTCCAAACATGTTAAGTTCATATTTTGTATTGGCGCATCTGTGAACAAATTGATCAGCTTGAACAATTATACAAGTTTATGGACTAAATTGTAAAGTTTCATAGTTGGTAGGTTAGTTTAGGATTTGGGGTTTCATGTTTGGAATAATAAGGATTCACACCGATTTTTTGCTAACTGCTCGCAAGAGTGATGCTCGAGCGACTGAAACAGAGACTGTCTCGCTCAGCCTTCGCCCCACTGTCGCTCGAGCGAAGCAGCCTTCTCACTTGAGCGACGTATTATTTGGCCAGACTTTTTATTTCCGAGATTTTTAATTGGCTCATATAACCTATTTCGTCTAACCTATATATTGAGGCGCCGCACTTCCTACGAACAAGAGGTTGAACACATTACATTCTTGAGAGAATTCATGCTTCATCATATTCAAAGTTCAATCCTTCCATTGTTCATGTGTCAATCATTGTGAAAACATCAAAGA